CATCTGGAAGGAGCAGGGCTTACTGTCAGATGTTTGGCTGGAGAAAACTCTGCGCAGAGGTTACGCTCTGCAATTTTTTCCGAAAGCCACCACCATTCCGAGGCGTACGGGCAGTACGCTCTCAGGTACGGGGATCGACAGAGGCACTGGAAGCAGAGGTCTCCTCCCTGCTGAGTCGAGGCGCAGCAGTGGAGGTAGACCCGCAGGACGCCACCAGGGGGCTGTACTCCCCTTACTTTCTGGTGCCAAAGAAATCAGGCGGGGTGCGTCCCATTCTGGATCTGCGCGTGTTAAACGAGTGCATTTCCAAACGGCAGTTTCGGATGCTGTCCACAAGGCAGCTCCTCGAGTGTGTCAGGGAAGGAGACTGGATGACATCCATAGACCTGACAGACGCATACTTCCACGTACCCATAGTGCCAGAACACAGGAGATTTCTGCGCTTCGCAGTGGGAGAGAGGAATTACGAGTACTGCCGTCTCCCTTTCGGGTACGCTCTCGCGCCTCGCACTTTTTCCAAATGTGTGGAAGCGGCTCTGGAGCCGATCAGACGTGCCGGGGTAAGAATATTGACCTATATAGACGATTGGTTAATACTGGCCCCATCCAGGGAAGTGGCCGTGAGCCACACGCAATGGGTCTTGTCCCACATACAGCGTCTGGGCTTTGTGGTGAACAGGGAGAAGAGCAAGCTGCAGCCAGCCCAACGCATGATTTACCTCGGTCTGCAGCTAGACTCTGTGATATTCCGTGCTGCATTGTCCGTGGACAGACGGACGAATATTACCCGTCTGGCCCGGGAGGTTCTGGCGGGCCCCAGAGTTCCCGCTCGGCGCCTCAGGTCCCTGCTGGGGATGATGGCAGCGGCTCATGCTGTGGTGCGGCTAGGCCTGCTCCACATGAGAAATTTTCAGAGGTGGTTCTCGCGCCTCAGGCTTCACCCCTCCCGGGACGGGGGGAGGCTGATCTGGGTTCCCCAAGGGGCAGCATCGGACATCAGGTTCTGGCTCACTCCGGGTCTACTGCGGGACGGAGTGACTCTGGCCTGCGCTGTGTCTCACGCCGAGGTGTTCACGGACGCGTCGCTCGAAGGATGGGGCGGGGTCCTCGGCCAGAGCTCTGTAGGAGGCTGCTGGTCGGACTCAGCCCGTCACATCAACCTGCTGGAGATGGAGGCAGTGCACAGAGTACTGCTGCACTTTGCCCCTCAGCTGCAGGGGAGACACGTGATGGTGCGCTCAGACAACACCACAGTGGTCTCCTATCTGAACAGGCAGGGGGGCACCAGGTCCCCCGCTCTCCATCGCATGGCGACGATGACGCTGCTGTGGGCGGCGCTTCACCTCCTGTCTCTCAGGGCGCGCCACGTCCCGGGGGTCCGGAACGTGGGAGCCGACAGGATGTCCAGGGGGGGCCCACTCCAGGACGAGTGGGGCCTGGCCCCACGGGTAGCCGCGGAGATCTGGCGGAGGTTCGGTCGTCCAGTAGTCGACCTTTTCGCCAGTGCAGAGAACGCACAGTGCCCGTCCTGGTTCGCCTTAAGGGCCGCGGACGAGCCGCCTTTAGGCGTGGACGCTCTGGCTCATTACCCATGGCCAGGCGGCCTGTTGTACGCTTTTCCACCGGTGCGTCTCCTGCCGGTCCTACTGCGGAGGATCGAACAGGAGAGGAGGTCGGTGATTCTGGTGGCTCCGGACAGCCCGCATGCCCGGTGGTTCCCCTTCCTGAGGGGCATGGCGGTGATGGAGCCCTGGGCCCTCCCGGACGAGCCGGGGGCTCTAGTCCAGGGGGCAGGAGCCCTGTTTTCACGTCCGATAATCGGCCGCAGGCTCTGGGTTTGGAGGTTGAGAGGCGGAGCCTCGTAGATCTGGGTCTTCCCCCTGCGGTGGTGGAGACAATTCAGGGAGCGAGGGCGCCGTCCACCGTGAGGGCCTACGCCACGAGGTGGAGGCTATTCAGTGCCTGGTGCGATTCCCGTTCCTGGGATCCCAGGTTTTGCCCGCTGGAGGGGGTCCTGGGATTCCTACAGGAGCTTTTCGACAAGGGGAGGGCTGTCGCTACCTTGGCGGTGTTTGCGGCAGCCATTACTTCAGGTCACGACGGGTTCGGGGGGTTCACAGCCCGCTCTCACCCGTTGATTAAACGTTTTCTGCGGGGGGCGCGCAGGAGGAGGCCCCCGCTCCAGAGAACGCCTCCGGTTTGGGACCTCAGGGTGGTCCTTAGGGGGCTGTCGGGTTCGCCTTTTGAACCGGCGGCGGAGGCGAGTCCCGATTGTATCGCTTTTAAGACGGCCCTCTTGCTGGCGTTGGCGTCTGCAAAAAGGGCGGGCGATTTGTGTGCGCTCTCAGTCCATGCGTCGTGCCTGTCCTTTGGAGAGGACGACGGCATGGTGGAGTTGTGGCCCAATCCGGCTTTTCTCCCCAAGGTCATCACGTCGGCCTTAGGTCGAGAGTGATCAGGATTAGGGCTTTCCACCCGCCGCCGCATGCCTCCCCCGAGGAGGAGCGGCAGCACCTTCTGTGTCCTATCAGAATGCTGAGGCATTACCTGGCCATGACGTCGTCATTCAGGTCGGGTGATCAGCTGTTTGTGTGTCTGGGCCCCAAGAACAGGGGCGCCCCGCTGTCGGCTCAGCGGCTGGCGCATTGGGTCGCCACGGCGGTGCGACGGGCGTATCAGGCGCAGGGCCTGGCCCCCCCGGTGGGTTTCAGGTCGCATTCCACGCGTGGGATGGCGGCCTCTACGGCCCTTCTCAGGGGGGCGTCGGTCGAGGACGTTTGCCGTGCGGCTTCTTGGGCGTCGTCCTCCTCTCTTTCGTCCGGTCTTATCTTTCGGATGTGTCGGACCGGTCGGTGGCCCATTCCGTGCTGAGTGCAGCGGATTGAGTTGGACCGTTGGGTCCCTCCCCTGAGGAGTGGGCCTTCGGTCTATTTTTCCGCCCTGGTGCAGGAGCTCTTGGGAGAGGCATCCTACAGGTGCGGTACATATATGTGTGTTTGATCGGTCTGGTAGTCTACATCAGGAGCTCTTGGGAGAGGCGTCCTGTGACTACGGTTGACCTACGATTGGTGTTACGTGGGGGCGTCCTTGGTAGGAGTGGCCCGGTAACACGCTTTGTTTCTTCTGCCCTGAGTCCTCTCACGGTGTGAGGGTCTTGCTCGGGCGGAGCTCCAATCACCCTTCGCTGGCCTGCTGGGAGTACATGTTCCTACGGCCTCCGCGTTGTGTCCCACTAGCGAAGTCCTAAGGGACGTAGCACCATGACGTAGAATTAATAGTTACCTAATGTAACTTAAGTTCTACGAATAGGTGCGTAGTCCCTTAGCTACGAGCCCATCAGGCCAGCCCGGCTTGGCAGAGTTCAAGAGGGGGTGCGGCCTTGTGCAGGGGCATTTATAGAGGAAGGTGGCTGGTGATTGGAGCAAATTATTTTGATCTCTCTGGCGTCTGTGACCTGGGGGTCACGTGATATCCACTAGCGAAGTCCTAAGGGACTACGCACCTATTCGTAGAACTTAAGTTACATTAGGTAACTATTAATTATGTTCAGATCCACAGAATAAATAACATTAATCCCCTTGGGTGAGTGTTTACGTCTCCTTCAGTAAAACAGTTCCAGGACCTTGGGCAGGTCATCAACCAGAAGAAATGATATGTTTCAGCACTTGAAATAATCTGGTGAGACTTTTGCAATTGGAAAAATATGGAAATATCTCTTTCCGGTATCAATAATTTAGTCTGTATGTTTATATTTTATTTAGGCCCTTTAGAGTGTCTTTCTCCATATCAATCATGAGGTTGTTCTAGTCTCTAATAGAATCTAGTGCATACCATTTATAGTGGCGATCAGTGGTATACAGCTTTAAAAAGGTCAATTGATAGCAGAAATAAGACAAAGGTCTGGTTGAATTAGGCAAACAGGATATGACAATAATTTCCAATTCATAACTATATTATTCAATATACTATATAGGCTATAGAAATTATAAAATAATAAAAACCTATGTTTATAAAGTTTAAAAGACAGGGAAGGCATCGACACAATTAAAGGTGTGTGTTAAACCGACTGCCACAGATTTGCTGCACATTTCTGCATTATTTAGGCTTTACCCTACGCCTTATGGTAGGAGGACATTTGCTAAGGTGAGGGCACTCGATATAAACGCGCTGCAATCCATTGCAGCAGTATTCGTGCTCTCCTCCTCTCTCCCCTTCTATCTAATTAACAAAGTGGACACGAGCATGAATAATTCCAGGAGCAGAAAAGCTAAATGAAAATTGTGTTTGCGGACCTAGAACAGCGCTTTGACACGGCTTCCATAAATTCCCGGCGCGCTCGGGAGTGAATACAAGAGGGGGAGGGGGGAGGGGGGGAACAAAAAACCTTGTGCAAAAAATCAATGACACGCTACAAAAAGAGAATGACTGGGATAGAGTGATGGAGGGAGAGAGAGAGAGAGAGAGAGAGAGAGAGAAAGGGGGCGGTGTCTGGTGAGGGGAGAGGAGGAAGAGGAGGAGGAGGGGGAAGCGGCCGGTGAGCGCGACTTGTGAGGCGGCAGTCAGCGCTGTCAGTCCGGTGCGAGCGGAGTGTGCTGGGGGCCGTGGAATTACTTTCTCCGGGAGTCGGAATAGGACACCAGACAGCTCAGGTAGGACAGCGCACGATGCCTCCTGCTGAATAAAGTCTTGTCTATAGTTAAAGTAAGACTCGGTTTTGTGTGCGCGCATGCGAACACAAAGGAGCACTGATCTGCAATTATAGTGATTGCTTTTAAATTGGCGCTTTCTAATCATTCGTGGCGGTCCCTGTGTCTGCGGTGAGAACTCTTCACTGTTTACATTCCGATTATAAAATGGATCAGCAATTTTCAATGAGTCCCGTCCAAACATTGCGCAAACACGAGCTTCCATTTCCATATTTCTTCTGCCACATTTAGCGCGCTATAATGTGAGTTTACGGCGCACTCCTTTCTTGACTTTTTTTGCACGCCTCTTTCCAGATGATGCTGGTCTTTCTGCTACCTGCCGTGGCTCTCCTCCTGGACACGCACACACTGGTCTCCGCTAACAACAACAACGATAAATGGGCTAAGCACCGTGGCCCAATACAACAAGGACAGATCCTGGAACCGATTCAGAGACGTGAGTTTGATTATAGTGTGGGCATGTGACATGGCAAAGCAAGACAACTATTATTATGATGCTCTTGGATGTCAGGGATCTGGATTTCACAGCGTGCCCTTTCTGTCATATGTGAGCATTACTTATAGTCATATAACCCATCATGTAGTCATGCTAAATAATTAAATAATGTTCAGCTTAATCATGTATCAAGAACATTGCTTCAAAATATACAGCTTAAGTAAGTAAAATATATCTAAGTCATGATCTATTACTCTTTTGCCCTCTTTGCAATTGCGTTTTAGCTACATTTTTACAATGCGTGGGAAAATTCAAGTACATCCAGACATTGTTTTGTCTTAATGGGGGTAGGGATATTGAAGATTTACTCCCAGCTTGCAGATGCACATCAACACACACTCTGAAGCTTTTTATGCTGTTATTTTTCTTTCGGTTTGGCGCACAGTTTGCCTCCTCTGCCCTTATTAGTGCAGGTCTTCTCTATGTGGTATGAGAAAGCCATTTGTGAGCCCAGGTATTAGTCATGTCCCTGTACACTCAGATAAGGCTGTGTACAGTACCTGCAGTAGTGTGAGAGACCATCCAATCACCATTTATTTCCAATTCATTAGGGACTGTGTCAGTGGAGGAGGGGACGGAGCAAAGCCATTAAGAGGGGTACGTGTGCAATATCAGATGGGATGGGCCACTGACAGAATGGCATGCGAGCGTTGGGTTTATTATGCCATGGCAGGAACAAAACCTCAGGCTGTTATTACTATAATTATCGTTTAGTTGGCTGATCATTCTTTCAATTAACTGAATAGTTGTGTTGATTCTGCGAATATGGGGTTGTTTGTACATTTGACCAAAACAAAGCTCAAGTGATGCCCCTGGAGAAAATCTTCATAGAGATGGGTTGTTTGATTTAAAATACTTTGTAAGCATATTTTTCTTTCATTCTGCAGTCATTGCAGATTTGTTATATTACATAGTCATAAAACTTCTTCTCAGCATGTTAAGTCAACAAAAGGTTCAATAACAATGAATCAACTTTCAAGATTCAATTCATTTGCCATTTGCAGTTAAAAAGACATTTGAATTCTTGTGGAAAAGCACCCAGCATGCACCGGAGACATCAATACAAAACACAATGCAAATATAAAAACACATTAAAAAACAATTGTCACTGTGAAATAACTGAGAAAAGGACTCATACAATAAAGTACAATATCAACATCGAATGTGATTAATCAGTATACTTAAAATAACAAAACCATACAAATGAAGCGTGTGGCTATGAACCGTTGTCCTGCTGTAGTTTTTGTTTGTGATACAACTTTCACTCCTCGCTGAACGTTGACGTTTGATGATGTTGTCAAAACTGACAAGATGATGCTTGTGATTCACAGTCCACAGTGGCTTCCAGAAATTGGTGTCTGCTGGTTTTATGAGTCAACTGCCAATGTTTTGATTGAGATATAGGACTGAAACTGTCAACGCAGGCAGTCTGTCTATAGCTGGGGATGTTTTGCTTAATTAACTAGTGTTATTCCTTTCTCTCTTTTGCTACTTAATGATTTTATTTATTCAATCCATTAATAATAATAATTAAGACTTTTTTTCTTCTACAATGACAAAAGACTGCAGATGGTAAACAGTATTAAGCTGTATTAAAAGTAGCCATTCTGTCAGTTTGGCTCATCAATCAGCTCTCACCCCAAAGTGTCAACTAGTGACACACCTTTCGTAAAGGTAAGCAAAAATAAAATGAAGGCAGAAAACCAAATGTATTTATGTAAGGAGGAACATTTTTGAGATAGCCCAGCTTTAATATTCTATTTTGCTAATTATATTACAACAGAACAATTTCTTTTTTTTCAGGACCCCCGCCCTCCCATCTCAAATGAAAACATAATTACATATATGACTCACTCCACACTAAACTGTACCATTGCTCAATCTAACTTCAAGCGACAATAAAATACATTTACGAACTAAAAATGTTAGTACCTAAAACATTTTTAATACTATGTAGCCTATATATATATATATACATAGTAAAATCTCAGAAGGGCAGCTAAAACTATTTCAAGAAAAATTTAAGTCTTTTATATAATTTTACATTATGCAAAAAAATATTATTCAATAACTGAGAACAACTGGGCGTTTTGGACGTAACAATCGTGTCCACTTTTGTTACGTCCAAAACGGCTGTCTTGGAGCGCTGTTAATAATACGGGAGTGAACGAATCAGTGTTTAAGTAGTGCCCCCTCCACTGGACAAACAAGCTGGGGACAAAACAAGAGTGGCTCTGTGAACATTCAGCGGTAGCGACCTCGGACATTTCGGGACTTTTTCGTGTCATTGACCAAAAATTTAACACATTGATAGTGTGGAGTGAGCCATATATCACATTGTAGATCATATTGAATGCAACTCAGTGGGCGTAGTGTGCTAATCCCAGTGCTGCTAACCGCAAACCCTGGATAGAGCCGAGCAAAAACATGGAGAAAGACACATCTGCTCCAAATTGTCATTAGTTCATTGGCTCCCACTGTCTGTTATGGCTCTAACCTTTGGCATCTTCTGTCTCCATCAGTCTCCACATAACTCGGATCTTTTCTGTTTGTCTGTCTGTGTCTGCGTGTCTGACTGTGTATTTGTGCGTGTGTGTGTGTGTCTGAGCCTGTACGTGTGTGTGTGTGTGTGTCTGTGCTTGTACGTGTGTGTGTGTCTGAGCCTATGTGTCTGACTTTTTGTGTGTTCGTGTGCTTGTGTGTCTGTTTCTGTGTGTGTGTGTGTGTCTGTGCCTGTACGTGTGTGTGTCTCTGCCTGTACGTGTGTGTATGTGTGTGTGTGTGTGTGTGTGTCTCTGCCTGTACGTGTGTGTGTGTCTGAGCCTATGTGTCTGACTTTATGTGTGTACGTGTGTTGTGTGTCTGTTTCTGTGTGTGTGTGTGTGCCTGTACATGTGTGTGTGTGTGTGTGTGTGTGTGTGCTTGTACGTATGTGTGTGTGTGTGTGTGTGTGTGTGTGTGTTGTGTGTGTGAGAGTTTGACCAGGTGCTTTGTCAGCCCTCTCTCTCCCTGCGCCCCTTCCTCCTCTTGCCCCTTCATGGCTCCGTCTCTCCTCTGTCTGCTGTGGTCCTCCCTGGATCCTGTTGATGAGCCTCTTGCTTTCTCCCGCATTATGCATAATGCATGAGCGTCCATTCACAGGCAAGGAGACTGTATTTTAATAGTAGAAGTTTTGGTGGGCTAAGGGCTTTAGTCTGAAAAATTGGAAAAGAAGAGTAGAATTATAATTTACACATTTGTGTAAATTGCCCAATGCATTTGAAAGCATCAGTGAAATGTTGCAAGAAAATATGATTAGTTTGGATAAAATGTCTGCTCGCTGTGGGTCTTTTGGCAGTCTATATTCATGGAAAACTGTACTGTTCTTTTGAATTGGCTTACAACTTTGTTTCCTGATTGAATGGGAGTGGAAATTGCTTATTTGTTTATACACTATGGTTTTGTATTTCTTTGAATGCACATTTGGTGTTTGTAGATACTTGTCAGGGATTATATTTGCATGCAGTGTTCTGTGTGATGGTTGCCAATTCTGCTTGTGTTTTCAATCATTTGGGGAAGTTGCTCTGTGCCTCCAAGGGTGTGGGTTGTTCAGTTGGAGGAATCCTGGTCTGTAACAGTGAAAAAGGTTGCCGTGTTGTTTTGACCCATGTTGCATTTCACAAAGCAGAAGATAGGAACCTGTCAAAATGAAAGAGTCAAAACAGTGCCGTGTCCTCGACTCATGGAATCAGAATCTAATAGATTACAGCAAGCTGATCATCCACTTCAAGCAATATAAACATTTCCAAACGTATTTTTTACGAGGACAACATCTTAATGGAAAGAGCAGAGCAAGGCAAAGGCCAAACTTTGATGGTGGGAGCTTCACTCTTGTTACACGGGCTGTTACACTGTCACTTTCCCTTGTGTGATTTGTGTGTAGTTTTATGGCCTTCGTCACCTGACCCACATATAAACAACATGTAAGACAACTTTGTTTTATTTCTGTTTAAATGAATGCCACGTTTGGTTGATGAGTCCTCAGAAAAAAGACTTTTTGACAAGGACGCTTGAATGCAGACTCGTTCTTACATTGCAGCCTGTGTTTCTCAACGTGTAAGGAAGAAACAATCCGGGCTAGATTTGGGCGAAATATTTTTTTCCCCTGCAGGAATTAGCCTTATGGAGCACAATGTTGTCTTTTTAAGCTCTTTGACAATCACATAATGCTTTTATGGCTTGTACATTTTTACCCGTGTTTACACTCTAGAGCATTTAGTACTTTTTAAAAAAAACGTGAAGCTATTTCTTCCCTTTCCTCGTCTGCTCACTTGTCAGAATCGGCCGTCAGAGGAGCTTAATCCCCAGTGTTTACGTCTCCTTCAGTAAAACAGTTCCAGGACCTTGGGCAGGTCATCAACCAGAAGAAATGATATGTTTCAGCACTTGAAATAATCTGGTGAGACTTTTGCAATTGGAAAAATATGGAAATATCTCTTTCCGGTATCAATAATTTAGTCTGTATGTTTATATTTTATTTAGCCCTTTAGAGTGTCTTTCTCCATATCAATCATGAGGTTGTTCTAGTCTCTAATAGAATCTAGTGCATACCATTTATAGTGGCGATCAGTGGTATACAGCTTTAAAAAGGTCAATTGAATAGCAGAAATAAGACAAAGGTCTGGTTGAATTAGGCAAACAGGATATGACAATAATTTCCAATTCATAACTATATTATTCAATATACTATATAGGCTATAGAAATTATAAAATAATAAAAACCTATGTTTATAAAGTTTAAAAGACAGGGAAGGCATCGACACAATTAAAGGTGTGTGTTAAACCGACTGCCACAGATTTGCTGCACATTTCTGCATTATTTAGGCTTTACCCTACGCCTTATGGTAGGAGGACATTTGCTAAGGTGAGGGCACTCGATATAAACGCGCTGCAATCCATTGCAGCAGTATTCGTGCTCTCCTCCTCTCTCCCCTTCTATCTAATTAACAAAGTGGACACGAGCATGAATAATTCCAGGAGCAGAAAAGCTAAATGAAAATTGTGTTTGCGGACCTAGAACAGCGCTTTGACACGGCTTCCATAAATTCCCGGCGCGCTCGGGAGTGAATACAAGAGGGGGAGGGGGGAGGGGGGGAACAAAAAACCTTGTGCAAAAAATCAATGACACGCTACAAAAAGAGAATGACTGGGATAGAGTGATGGAGGGAGAGAGAGAGAGAGAGAGAGAGAGAGAGAAAGGGGGCGGTGTCTGGTGAGGGAGAGGAGGAAGAGGAGGAGGAGGGGGAAGCGGCCGGTGAGCGCGACTTGTGAGGCGGCAGTCAGCGCTGTCAGTCCGGTGCGAGCGGAGTGTGCTGGGGGCCGTGGAATTACTTTCTCCGGGAGTCGGAATAGGACACCAGACAGCTCAGGTAGGACAGCGCACGATGCCTCCTGCTGAATAAAGTCTTGTCTATAGTTAAAGTAAGACTCGGTTTTGTGTGCGCGCATGCGAACACAAAGGAGCACTGATCTGCAATTATAGTGATTGCTTTTAAATTGGCGCTTTCTAATCATTCGTGGCGGTCCCTGTGTCTGCGGTGAGAACTCTTCACTGTTTACATTCCGATTATAAAATGGATCAGCAATTTTCAATGAGTCCCGTCCAAACATTGCGCAAACACGAGCTTCCATTTCCATATTTCTTCTGCCACATTTAGCGCGCTATAATGTGAGTTTACGGCGCACTCCTTTCTTGACTTTTTTTGCACGCCTCTTTCCAGATGATGCTGGTCTTTCTGCTACCTGCCGTGGCTCTCCTCCTGGACACGCACACACTGGTCTCCGCTAACAACAACAACGATAAATGGCTAAGCACCGTGGCCCAATACAACAAGGACAGATCCTGGAACCGATTCAGAGACGTGAGTTTGATTATAGTGTGGGCATGTGACATGGCAAAGCAAGACAACTATTATTATGATGCTCTTGGATGTCAGGGATCTGGATTTCACAGCGTGCCCTTTCTGTCATATGTGAGCATTACTTATAGTCATATAACCCATCATGTAGTCATGCTAAATAATTAAATAATGTTCAGCTTAATCATGTATCAAGAACATTGCTTCAAAATATACAGCTTAAGTAAGTAAAATATATCTAAGTCATGATCTATTACTCTTTTGCCCTCTTTGCAATTGCGTTTAGCTACATTTTTACAATGCGTGGGAAAATTCAAGTACATCCAGACATTGTTTTGTCTTAATGGGGGTAGGGATATTGAAGATTTACTCCCAGCTTGCAGATGCACATCAACACACACTCTGAAGCTTTTTATGCTGTTATTTTTCTTTCGGTTTGGCGCACAGTTTGCCTCCTCTGCCCTTATTAGTGCAGGTCTTCTCTATGTGGTATGAGAAAGCCATTTGTGAGCCCAGGTATTAGTCATGTCCCTGTACACTCAGATAAGGCTGTGTACAGTACCTGCAGTAGTGTGAGAGACCATCCAATCACCATTTATTTCCAATTCATTAGGGACTGTGTCAGTGGAGGAGGGGACGGAGCAAAGCCATTAAGAGGGGTACGTGTGCAATATCAGATGGGATGGGCCACTGACAGAATGGCATGCGAGCGTTGGGTTTATTATGCCATGGCAGGAACAAAACCTCAGGCTGTTATTACTATAATTATCGTTTAGTTGGCTGATCATTCTTTCAATTAACTGAATAGTTGTGTTGATTCTGCGAATATGGGGTTGTTTGTACATTTGACCAAAACAAAGCTCAAGTGATGCCCCTGGAGAAAATCTTCATAGAGATGGGTTGTTTGATTTAAAATACTTTGTAAGCATATTTTTCTTTCATTCTGCAGTCATTGCAGATTTGTTATATTACATAGTCATAAAACTTCTTCTCAGCATGTTAAGTCAACAAAAGGTTTCAATAACAATGAATCAACTTTCAAGATTCAATTCATTTGCCATTTGCAGTTAAAAAGACATTTGAATTCTTGTGGAAAAGCACCCAGCATGCACCGGAGACATCAATACAAAACACAATGCAAATATAAAAACACATTAAAAAACAATTGTCACTGTGAAATAACTGAGAAAAGGACTCATACAATAAAGTACAATATCAACATCGAATGTGATTAATCAGTATACTTAAAATAAACAAAACCATACAAATGAAGCGTGTGGCTATGAACCGTTGTCCTGCTGTAGTTTTTGTTTGTGATACAACTTTCACTCCTCGCTGAACGTTGACGTTTGATGATGTTGTCAAAACTGACAAGATGATGCTTGTGATTCACAGTCCACAGTGGCTTCCAGAAATTGGTGTCTGCTGGTTTTATGAGTCAACTGCCAATGTTTTGATTGAGATATAGGACTGAAACTGTCAACGCAGGCAGTCTGTCTATAGCTGGGGATGTTTTGCTTAATTAACTAGTGTTATTCCTTTCTCTCTTTTGCTACTTAATGATTTTATTTATTCAATCCATTAATAATAATAATTAAGACTTTTTTTCTTCTACAATGACAAAAGACTGCAGATGGTAAACAGTATTAAGCTGTATTAAAAGTAGCCATTCTGTCAGTTTGGCTCATCAATCAGCTCTCACCCCAAAGTGTCAACTAGTGACACACCTTTCGTAAAGGTAAGCAAAAATAAAATGAAGGCAGAAAACCAAATGTATTTATGTAAGGAGGAACATTTTTGAGATAGCCCAGCTTTAATATTCTATTTTGCTAATTATATTACAACAGAACAATTTCTTTTTTTTCAGGACCCCGCCCTCCCATCTCAAATGAAAACATAATTACATATATGACTCACTCCACACTAAACTGTACCATTGCTCAATCTAACTTCAAGCGACAATAAAATACATTTACGAACTAAAAATGTTAGTACCTAAAACATTTTTAATACTATGTAGCCTATATATATATATACATAGTAAAATCTCAGAAGGGCAGCTAAAACTATTTCAAGAAAAATTTAAGTCTTTTATATAATTTTACATTATGCAAAAAAATATTATTCAATAACTGAGAACAAACTGGGCGTTTTGGACGTAACAATCGTGTCCACTTTTGTTACGTCCAAAACGGCTGTCTTGGAGCGCTGTTAATAATACGGGAGTGAACGAATCAGTGTTTAAGTAGTGCCCCCTCCACTGGACAAACAAGCTGGGGACAAAACAAGAGTGGCTCTGTGAACATTCAGCGGTAGCGACCTCGGACATTTCGGGACTTTTTCGTGTCATTGACCAAAATTTAACACATTGATAGTGTGGAGTGAGCCATATATCACATTGTAGATCATATTGAATGCAACTCAGTGGGCGTAGTGTGCTAATCCCAGTGCTGCTAACCGCAAACCCTGGATAGAGCCGAGCAAAAACATGGAGAAAGACACATCTGCTCCAAATTGTCATTAGTTCATTGGCTCCCACTGTCTGTTATGGCTCTAACCTTTGGCATCTTCTGTCTCCATCAGTCTCCACATAACTCGGATCTTTTCTGTTTGTCTGTCTGTGTCTGCGTGTCTGACTGTGTATTTGTGCGTGTGTGTGTGTGTCTGAGCCTGTACGTGTGTGTGTGTGTGTGTCTGTGCTTGTACGTGTGTGTGTGTCTGAGCCTATGTGTCTGACTTTTTGTGTGTTCGTGTGCTTGTGTGTCTGTTTCTGTGTGTGTGTGTGTGTCTGTGCCTGTACGTGTGTGTGTCTCTGCCTGTACGTGTGTGTATGTGTGTGTGTGTGTGTGTGTCTCTGCCTGTACGTGTGTGTGTGTCTGAGCCTATGTGTCTGACTTTATGTGTGTACGTGTGCTTGTGTGTCTGTTTCTGTGTGTGTGTGTGTGCCTGTACATGTGTGTGTGTGTGTGTGTGTGTGTGCTTGTACGTATGTGTGTGTGTGTGTGTGTGTGTGTGTGTGTGTGTGTGTGAGAGTTTGACCAGGTGCTTTGTCAGCCCTCTCTCTCCCTGAGCCCCTTCCTCCTCTTGCCCCTTCATGGCTCCGTCTCTCCTCTGTCTGCTGTGGTCCTCCCTGGATCCCTGTTGATGAGCCTCTTGCTTTCTCCCGCATTATGCATAATGCATGAGCGTCCATTCACAGGCAAGGAGACTGTATTTTAATAGTAGAAGTTTTGGTGGGCTAAGGGCTTTAGTCTGAAAATTGGAAAAGAAGAGTAGAATTATAATTTACACATTTGTGTAAATTGCCCAATGCATTTGAAAGCATCAGTGAAATGTTGCAAGAAAATATGATTAGTTTGGATAAAATGTCTGCTCGCTGTGGGTCTTTTGGCAGTCTATATTCATGGAAAACTGTACTGTTCTTTTGAATTGGCTTACAACTTTGTTTCCTGATTGAATGGGAGTGGAAATTGCTTATTTGTTTATACACTATGGTTTTGTATTTCTTTGAATGCACATTTGGTGTTTGTAGATACTTGTCAGGGATTATATTTGCATGCAGTGTTCTGTGTGATGGTTGCCAATTCTGCTTGTGTTTTCAATCATTTGGGGAAGTTGCTCTGTGCCTCCAAGGGTGTGGGTTGTTCAGTTGGAGGAATCCTGGTCTGTAACAGTGAAAAAGGTTGCCGTGTTGTTTTGACCCATGTTGCATTTCACAAAGCAGAAGATAGGAACCTGTCAAAATGAAAGAGTCAAAACAGTGCCGTGTCCTCGACTCATGGAATCAGAATCTAATAGATTACAGCAAGCTGATCATCCACTTCAAGCAATATAAACATTTCCAAACGTATTTTTTACGAGGACAACATCTTAATGGAAAGAGCAGAGCAAGGCAAAGGCCAAACTTTGATGGTGGGAGCTTCACTCTTGTTACACGGGCTGTTACACTGTCACTTTCCCTTGTGTGATTTGTGTGTAGTTTTATGGCCTTCGTCACCTGACCCACATATAAACAACATGTAAGACAACTTTGTTTTATTTCTGTTTAAATGAATGCCACGTTTGGTTGATGAGTCCTCAGAAAAAAGACTTTTTGACAAGGACGCTTGAATGCAGACTCGTTCTTACATTGCAGCCTGTGTTTCTCAACGTGTAAGGAAGAAACAATCCGGGCTAGATTTGGGCGAAATATTTTTTTCCCCTGCAGGAATTAGCCTTATGGAGCACAATGTTGTCTTTTTAAGCTCTTTGACAATCACATAATGCTTTTATGGCTTGTACATTTTTACCCGTGTTTACACTCTAGAGCATTTAGTACTTTTTAAAAAAACGTGAAGCTATTTCTTCCCTTTCCTCGTCTGCTCACTTGTCAGAATCGGCCGAGAGGAGCTGCCATCGCTATCATCCATACCCACTGTTAGTCTCAAGAGGTGCGCAAGTTGTTTTCAGTCTTTCCATGTCTCCTGTTTTATTTGTTTGTGCCAAAGTAAGATGCGTTTGTTGCAAGTCCTCATTTCCTTCACTTTTGCCCATCTCTCTCCTCTCCATTCTCTGTGATACCCTGTCGTCCTCAAATGGTGCCGAAAACAGTTGCCTGAAATCTTTATTTTCAAGGCGGACTTGACTGTGGGAAATTGTTTGCATCCGTCCCTCAGGAGTATTTTGGCGGTGCCTTAAGAGCTCATCATGTATGCTTTTATTCTGGCTGGCTTGTGTTTGTGTCTCGGCTCAGTCTCAACGTGAGAATTAAGTGTTGTCATCTTTTATCAGTCATATTCTCTTCTTCTACCAGCCGTGACCCCCCACTGTCTGTGCTTATCAAAACAGGAGGAGGCCATTTCTCTGCAATCGCGAGTGTATATAAAAAACGTATGGTGTGTCTTCAAAGAGTGAACACATCTGCCATACATTTGGTGTCAGCAATAGTGCTATACATTTGATGTGATTTGCATGAAGAGAATAAAGAAACGTGCTGAGCTTGCAACGGGCCAATTTTAGCCATATGTACCTTCACACCTGGGAGCCTTGTGCTTTTCAATAGGAAGGTTGTCTTGATCTGTGTATATAGGCGCCACTGCACCATAACCACTTCTCATTGTGTCATTTAAAAAAAAGAACAAAAACTGTATTTTTTGCTTATTTATTGTGTGCAGCTTATAGAGTTTCTAGAGAAAATGTTATTGTATGTAATGTAATGGGCTCGACCCATTTCTTTTGCCCGTCTAATTGTACACAATTTTTCACCCGTATGTATAGTAATTAGCTATGAGAATAACTTTTGGGCTGGAAACATCTGAACTTTTGTTACCAATTTTAATATTTGGATAAAAAAAATCATTATGTAATTTTTAATCAGAATTAGACTGTCGGAAGCAGAGTGAACTGACAAGTGGTGGGACTTCACTCTCTCTTTATTCCTGAGGAAACATTGCCCTTCAAAATTACCCCTCTCCCTTCTCTTTCTTACGTCCCATAACTCCATTCTCTTTCAAAATGGAACAAAAGGGGAGATGGTAATGCACATACACCATTGTTCGGAATTTTATATATATCGTCATTGTAAAGTTTCTGTCATATTATTTATGTATTATTATTTATATATTTAAACTAGACTAATGGTAGAATGGTAAAATATGGTTGAACAAAAAAGCCTTAATATTATTATTATCAAAGATCCAGTAACCTGATTGTGCTAATAAGAGCTTTGCACAACTTTCAGACTCTCAGAGAATGGAACGTTCTTGTACAAAGCCAGAACCATGACTTTTGTTTCATCACAAGCTGCTTTCACACCATATGTAAGAAAGAAATTATACAATTATGGTTTAAACTAATTTTCTTTAGGTAACGATTAGAAACATAAAGTTGTTTAAATTGGATTGTGAGACTTTTTGACATGGCTTCAGATCCTACAGCTAAAGCTTTCAAGCTGATCGATCTGAATTTACTGCCCTCATTGACCCTGATTGGGGCCACGATAAAATCAATACACACACATAAGTCTGACGCACTAGCCGAACAGAGGGACATCAGTGTGGTCAGGGGTGACACACAGGTCACCCTCCCCCAGGACCAGCGGCGTTCAGGTGCATGTTTTTCAGTGGACGTGGAACAGAGAAACTGCACTAAACAGGACACAGCTGCCATAGTCGTTTTGGGCGCCTGATAAGGTGTGGAGGTTTTAATGTAAAGCCAATGAAAACGTGGGCAGAACACAGGCCCAGATGGAGCGCAGAGAGACGCCCAGTGTTGTGAGTGTGTGGTAGGGCTTTGTCATGGCGTACTCCGGCTGTCTTTGAAGGGATTGTCTGTCGGTTGATCTCTTTGGCGCTAGTACCAAGCTTTCTGTCTAAGCTGCTGAGGCCTTTGAAGAAGACATGTGGGCCGATTTTCTGGCTTTGTGTAAAAGAACCAAAACCACCACCCAAGCCCACATCGCAAAGGACCTGCTTATAACTTTCTATAGGTAACTTCACTAACTAGCGTTTTAAATGATGACATTGTTCGTTCGTACTATAAATCAACTTGAGTAACTATCAGTGCTCACATAATAATTGCAGTGGGTCAATTTTCATTACCCAAAACTGTTATATTTTGGAATGTCTTATCGGTAGAATACTGTTGTTTGACATAGATTGATTACACTTCAACACCTGTGATATTTGAATCATTAAGTCATAATTTTGTAATAATTAGTAGCCATTATGAATACATACTACATCAAATCCTTCCACTGTCCATCCATCCTCTTCCCCTTATTCCATTTCTGGGTTGGGGCAGTGGCAGTCACAGAGCACCAGCCCCTTACTGATCCTCCTGCAGGTGGTCAGTGCACAGGAGCCTTGATCTTCTAGCGGGGGCTTCAGGCAAAGTGGGGTTAAGTGTCTTGCCCAAGGACAC